TGGACCTGGTGCTGAGTTTGCCCTGGCTTTGAGCAGTCCCATGGTGTGGGCCGAGGCATCAGAGGGCCCTGGGGTCCGACTGACCTGTCTGAGCCCGAGAGGAGGGGGAATGGCCAGGCTCAGGCCCAGGTATGGGTTTATCTTCCAGCGGGCCCTCGCACGGACTGTGATGCTTCCTTGTAGACAGAGGAGAGCAGGAAATTCAGACATCAGGGATTCCTTCCCCCAGGAGAGATGGCAGGTGCCTGGAACCTGATGGTCTGGAAAACAGCTCCGGGCCTTCCTCCTCCAGTCCTCTGCTCTAGGACTTCAGTGTATTAACCCCACCCCTCCCGGAGTCTGGACTTCCCAGGATGCAGGCAGGACAGGGATGCCCAGAGAGGAGATGGCTGGTCCGGGGTCAAACTAGTCAGGGCACACCTGGGATGGACTGGAGGCTGCTGTAGCCCCATCATGTTAGTTTGTCTCAGAATCAGGCCTGGCTGGTGGGAACAGCACCACTTTTTAGTGCTGTCTGAAAGCCCCCCCAGCCTGCTCAGCCTGCTCCCTTCTTTGAGTGACTAGCCACAGACCCCCAATTATCTTGATAGGCTACGATTCATGGGCTTCCTGGTGCCCAGGACCTGCTTCAGGCCTCATTATCTCTGAGCACCTACAGTGTGCCTAGAATTAATTGCTCTGTGCTGGGAATACAGCAGGGAACAGCAGCAGTCTGGGCCCTTGTGGGGTCTCCGATGGTAACATGGAGCAACAGTTATGCTTCCTTGTGATTCCAAGGCTTTGGGAAAGACCTTCCAACCTCCGACCCTGTATGCACCTCAGTAAAACAGCAAGAAGGCCAGGTGCAGTGGCTCATGCCTATAATCCCAACACTTTGGGAGGCCGAGGCAGGAGGATTGCTTGAGCCCAGGAGTTAGAGACCAGCCTGGGCAACACAGCAAGACCTTGGCTCTACAAAAAAAAAGGAAAAAAAGGAGTGTGAGCCTCCCTCTCCCCCAGGGATTTTGGGGCGAAGATGCCCCTGGCAATGTCTAAGCAGCCCTACCCTACCTTCCTCCCCAACACAGACCCCAGTGAGGGAAGTGGGGCCCAGAGGGGTACAGTGACTTGGCCTTGTGGGTGTCCCGGGCTGAGACCCAACTGCAGCTCCCTCCTTTCCCCTTACACACTGACTGCTTCTTGCCCAGGGGTCAGTTAGAGGGAAGGTCTTAGTAGGGTCCCATGATGGATGGCAGTGGCCAGTGTGCAAGCGGCTTCAGGCCTGGAGACTAACCGAGGGATATGACCACCTGAGAGAACCAGTCTTAGGCACTGCGGCTCGTTATAGAAATCTGTTTAATGGTTTAGGAATATGTACACTCTGGCTCTGCTGTTTCCATAAAGGCAACTTTTTCATGTCTTAAAAAATAGATTTGATATAAAGATTTATATATTCATAAATAGGCATTGTGAAAAATTACCAAATGCAAATGGCATCCTTGTGCTGGCTGAGGTCCTCCCCCCCACCCCCAGAGTCCAGGCCCTGCAGGAGTGAGGGTCCCTATTGGAGGAGGCCCCGATTCCTGCAGCCCTCCTGGGAAGAAACTGAATTCAATATGAATCAGGAGCTTCTCCAGCTCCCTGCCCTCTGGGGCCTGTGTCCTTGAGATCAAACCCTTTCCAGGGCGGACAAGGAGCCACCTCCCTGGTACCTGTATCCCTTCCCTGTGTCATTCCTACTACAAGTAAAAAACTCCAGTCTCTCTCTGGTTTCTCTTAAGCTATCATCACACCAGCCCCACCCAGGCCCCAGCCCCCTCCTCAGGGAAGAGGCCTCTTCCACAGGCTGTGGCTCTTAGATAATTAACAAGCCAAGGAAGAGTCATTAAACTGTTCTCTTGCCCGAGGCCTGGGCCTTTGGGAGGGGTCAGCCTGCCAGCCTGCTACAGGAAAAGAAACAGATGTTGGTTTTGTTTTCTTTCTCACTTTCATCCCTACCCTCTTTTTTTTTTTTTTTGAGTTGAAGTCTCACTCTGTCACCCAGACGGGAGTGCAGTGGCCACTCCCAGCCACCGCAGCCTCGACCTGCTGGGCTCCAGCAATCCTTCCGCCTCAGTCTTTCAAGTAGCTGGAACTACAGGTTTGTGCTACCACTCCTGGCTGATTTTTGATTTATTGTAGAGATGAGGTCTTGCCAAGTTGCCCAGGTGGGTCTTGAACCCGCGGGCTCAGGCAATCCACTCACCTCAGCCTCCCCAAGCAAGGGATTACAGGCCGAGCCACTGAGCCCGGCTCCTGCCCCACTTTAAAACAAGCCTTTGCAGGACTTCAGGCCCCCTAGCCTAGGGGGATGAGAAATAGGTGGCTCACAGTCCAAGGTAACAAATGAGTCCCTGTCACCAGTCAGCTTCCATCCCTGTCCCTACCCTACATCCTCATGGCAGCCCAGGGCATCCCCGTGAAGGAGCCAGGGTGGAGGGCTCCATCCAGGGTAGGAGGTTTCTGTCCTCCCTCTCTCTCTAGGCCCACCGTGTGAGGCGCCGGCTAGGCTTCTCAGAGGTGGGCAGCAGGTGGGGTCAGTAACTGTGCTCGGGTGGGCGGGGCCTGCCTGGAATTGGGACTGCAGTTGGAAAACAGAGGCACAGGCCCAGACCTCTGCTCCCAAAACCCCTTGTGTGCTCCCTGCTACCCACAAAACTGCAGGACTCTGCAAGGTCAGGCTTTATGTGACTTCTATTCTGGCCTGGGCCCGGGTGGAAAGCTTAGCTATTCCCCAACCTTACCGCCCCAGAAACATCAGCCCCTAGTAGAAAAGCTGTAGGGCTGGAGGGAGGCTCTGCCCAGGGCACGTCCAGTCCCAGCTGGGTTTGAGGACCTTCACCCTGGGCCTGAGGGCACTCCTCAAGAGCCAGACACTGCCTTACAGGCACTGCCAGGGGAGGGTGGGGGCAGACACAAGCTCTCCCTGCCAGCAGGCAGAGCCCAGGCCCCACTAGGCTCCCTGTCAGCCTGACACAAGCAAAGCTGCCAAGGAAGAGAGCCAGGAAGCCCTGCTACTTGCTGCCTAGACTTCCCACAACGCAAGCCCTGCTCAGCAGCTCCTGGTCCAAGCGGGCCACCTTCCTCCCCTCCAGTACCAGACTCGGCCACTCCATGGCTGCCTCCCTGCCTGAAGGGAGCCTGACAGGAATGATGGTTGGCCAGTGTCAAGCCCTGCGGGTTTCAGCCAAGGAAACATTGTCTGTGCCCTGATCCTATTTTACCAGACGGCCGTGAGGCTGCTGCAAAGGCCTGCTTCTTGCCTAGCCGAGGCCTGTCAGGGAAAGAGGGGTGATGCAGACCACAGTGATGAGAGTAGGAGGCAGAGAAGTCTGCGTGGAGCACAGCAGCCCACCCCCGGGTCTGGGCTGAGCCCAGCCCGGCCTGGGACGTGGACTGTGACCCAATGCAGCCTCATCCATGGGTCCAAGAGCCGTTTATTCCTGGGGTGGGGTCCATGCGGGGAGGGCTTGAGGGGCTGACCCTGAGTTGACATGGAGGGACTGGGATTGGCTTGGGAAGTTCACCTGGCTCCCATGGTCCCAGTGTTCCCTGCTCCTGCCACTGATCCCTTTGAGCCACATGCTGAGAGGACGATGCTATCTCCCAGAGCCCCCACCTTTTGCCTAACTTGGGTGCCCAGCTCAGGGCGAGGCAGGTAAGGGCTCAGGGCATGAAAATGGCCAGACTGAGGATCGCCAGAGCCTCCCCTTTCATGTTTGGGAGACTCTGCAAACTAGACTGGGACCTATGGGGAGTGAATGGTCCTGAAAACAGTGGGCAAGGCCTTCTCAAGCCTAAGCCTCAAGGACATAAGCATCTATTTTTGCCATAAACTTTCCTATCTCATTCCCTCAAACTACCAGACTTCTGAGAGCCAGCGCTGAAGAATTAGCTAGTTTTGCAACCTGAGTGGCAAAACACTGGGCTCCAGCCGGCAGCGGTGGCTCATGCCTGCAATCCCAAGAATTCGAGACCAGCTTGGGCAACTTGGTGAGACCTCGCCTCTAAAAAAAGGAGAAAAAAACTGGGTCCCAAACTAGTGAACAGTCCCCACCTAGTCGTGGGCCATGACCCCACACTCGTGCTGCTGGAAATGAGAAGCTCCACAGAAAACCAGAAAACTTGAGGTCTTGGTAAGGCAGCGAGCCAGGTCCCAAGGAGGTGTCCGTGAGTGCAGAGCCGGCAGTGAAGAAGGAAGTGGGCTCCTCTGGAGGGAGCTCAAGCTTCCCTGGGGCTGTGCACAGGCACCGAGTCAGTGGGTCTGCATGCTCTTGCTCTCTCCTGCAACGCGTGGAGGCCCTGGAATGACTGGAAGAACCCGGGGCCCCAGCCACATCCCTGGAAAGCAGCAACCTGCTGCCACAGGTGCAGCAAACTCAGAGAAAACGGTCAGAACAGCTGGTGCGGAGCAGGGACGGCACCTGCCCGGCACCTCTCCCGCTGTGGGCTGCAGTGGAGGGCTCAGACCAGCCCTGGAATGTGAAGAACGTGGAAGGGCCACCCGCTGGCCGGCAGGATGGGCCCCATGGCCTACCCTGGGCCAACAGGCTCCCTGCAGGGTTACCTGTGTCCCCCTCCTCAAGGAGAGCCTCCCCAAGCATCCAGGCCACAAGATGCATAGCTCCAGGGCTTCAGGGCTTCACCCAGCGGCTCTAGAATCGCCATGCCGTGAGGGCCAGCTCTTCAGGGCTGGGCTTGGCAGGCCAGAGTGAGGAAATGGGAACCCCTGGCCCACCTGCCCCGGCCCCGGTCAGCACCCGCAGCCCCAGCTCTCTCCGATGTCCTTGCTATCCAGCTGGATGTGGTCAGTGCTCTTCTCGCTGAACATGGGGCCCCCATGCCTCATGATGAGCTCTGTGGCCACCCTCAGGAAGGCCTCCTCCACGTTGCTTGAGTCCTTGGCAGATGTCTCGATGGCACACAGGATGTCATAGTGCTCAGCCAGGCTCTGCGCCTCGGCCAGAGGGACCTCCCGGAGCTCACTGAGGTCTGACTTGTTCCCTGTAGAGAAAAGCCAGGGGTGGTGTGCGGAGGCCACAGGCGCCAGGCAAGGCCGGTCTCACCTGACAGGGCCTTGTTCAGCCCAAAGCCATCCACTCCCTTCTGCCACTACGAACAGACACACGGGTATGGTAACCTGTGTTTCTTAAAACAAAAAACACTTTTTCTTATTTTAAAGCTCTTAGTCTATTCCTACCACTGGCTTTTCTATTTTATTGCTTCTAAGAACTAGAAGCAGTAGGGTCTGGTGAAAAGAACATGTTCTTCCTGTACTTCAGAGCAGGAAGAAGACCTGGGCTGGGACTCCAGCTTCCTGCCACTTGCAACGACCCTTACTTAAGTAACACTTCATCTGAGTCTGTTTCCGCAACTGTCATGTACCCTTCAGCATGGGAGAGCAGAGCAATGCATTATTCTCTTTTGGTAGCTGAATAAAATGCTCTAAAATAGAATGACCTTTTAGAAATGCCCCGGATCAACCAGGTGCAGTGGCTGACGTCTATAATCCCAATACTTTGCGAGGTCAAGGCAGGAGGATTGCTTGAGCTCAGGAGTTCGAGACCAGCCCGGGTAGCAAAGTAAGAACTGTCTCTACAAAAAAATAAAAACTTTAGCCAGGCTTGGTGCCTCAGCCTGTAACCCCGCGCTTTGGGAGGCTGAGGTGAGTGGATTGCCGGAGACCGCGGGTTCGAGACCCGCCTGGGCAACTTGGCGAGACCTCATCTCTACCATAAATCAAAAAATTAGCCAGGCGTGGTAGCACGTGCCTGTAGTTCCAGCTACTTGGAAGGCTGAGGCGGAAGGATCGCCGGAGCCCAGCAGGTCGAGGCTGCGGTGGCCGGGAGCGGCCATTGCACTCCAGTCTGGGCCACAGAGTGAGACTCCAACTAAAAAAAAAAAACAACAATAAAATAAAATAAAAATAATTCAGCTGGGCATGGCAGCACACGCCTATAGTCCCAGCCACTTGGGAGGACAGGGGTGGGAGGAGGATCATTTGAGCCCAAAAGTTTGAGGCAAGCCACGATGGTGCCACTGCACTCCAGCCTGGGCGACAAAGTGAAACCCTAATGCCAAAGAAAAAAGAAATGTCCTGGATAAAAGGGATGTTATTCGGCCAGGTAAGGAAAGCTCCGTTCCTCTCAAACGCTCCACACTTCAGTCCTGGCCAGCTGTGGAAGGTAGGCTGTGTGGAATCAAGTGCTATCTTCTTCCCAGCTGGAGCCACATCCGGCCCCTATCTGTACACTCAAGTCAGAAGAATCAGCCTGACTGCTGGGGTGAAGACCACAGGGACCGCACAAGTACCAAGAAGCTTCCTGAGCCCAGGTCTGGGAAGTTTATGTAGAAGGGAAAAGGGTAAACAACATCCCTCCTTGGCAGCAGTTCTCAAAGTGGAGTCCCTGGACCAGCAACACAGGCATCACCTGGGAACTTGTTAGAAACGTGTATTCATGGGTACGACCCAGCCCTCCCGAATCAGATGCTCTGGAGGTGAGAGCCTGTGTCTGCATTTTAACTAGCCTTCAGAGGCATACAAATGATCGAGCGCCCCTACTCTGTAGTGTGGCAAGACAGTAAGTCATGGGTTGCGATCAGCAAAACTTAACTCAATCCCACATCTGTATCTCGCAGGCTGTGTGGATTTGTGCAAACCGCTCCTCTTTTCTGCGCCCAGGCCCTCCTGTCAAATGAGAAGCCAGGGTCATGACAGCTAAGGCTCCTGACACAGCGCTGACCCCTGTGCAGATACATAGGAACTCCCGAGCCACCTATAGCTCCCTTGCTTTTTCCTCTCATTTCCATTTTGAATATGAGTCTCAAGTGATTACCAGGATCAGAATTTGCAAAATCATCGTTCAAACTGTGCCTGGCCATGCTCACCTCTCTCTGCATTCACTCTTGCCCTGTATGCAAGAAGCAGAGAGAGGCAGGGACAGACAGATGGGCTTTGTGGTCCGGGAGAGCCCCCCAGCTCACCAATCAGCAGCTGCACGATGTTGGAACCTGCATATTTCCTCACGTCCTCAATCCAGTGAGGCACTGACAGGAAGGAGCTCTTCTTGGTGATGTCGTAGGCGAGGATGGCCCCATTGGCACTGCGGTAGTAGCTCTGGGTGATTGTGCGGAATCGCTCCTGGCCAGCTGTGTCCCAGATCTGCAGCTAAAGAAATGGGTGACCTCAGTGAGCCCAGGGGTGAGGCTAAGCACAGGGGCAGGGAGAACAGCCCCATAGCCCCACACCCGAAGCCACAGTTCCATGGGCTGGAAGGTGGACACACAGAAGTCTTAGAAAGCGACTCTGGGGCCCAACTTTGTTGGAGAAAGGAGGATGCAAAGGGAAGGTGGGCGGCCCGTCTTGGCTTCCTAGGGTCCCCAGGCTGTATTCTGAACTGGCCTGAACTCCAGGTGTGCTGTGAGGCTGGCAGGGTGCTATGTCAGGTACCCTCCCGGACAAGTGCACCACGTACCTGGCCATGCATAAGGCTCCTCCCACATTAGGGCTCTCTCACAACTCCACAGTCTAGTGGTGAGGAGGCTGTGGCAGGGGACACCTGGGGGTGGCAATGGGCAGAGTCCTCCCATCGGGCCTTTGGACACAAGTCAGTTTCCATCAGCTGACCCAGCTTGGCCAAAGCAAAGAGCTTGGGGTCTTTTCCTACTGTCTTGATTTAACAAACGTGTACTCTGCTAAGCTCCCCCACTGGACATGGACTGGGTGGGAAAAGCTTCCCTGGCTTCCTTTAGAGGCAGCAGCCTGGCAGGATGGACACCAGGCAGGGCAGGGGAAAAGCTGGGCTGCCAAGCAGAGGCAGAGGCCTGCGCCTGGGCAAGGAAGCTGCCAGTTCCAGGTGGAGATCACCAGCTCTGGATCTAGGTGAGCCTGAACCGTGGGCAGGCATCCAAGGGTCAGATGTCAGCGCTCTCGGTGACCACATATGTTGGGGGCTTGGAGCTTGCCTTCCTTCCCCACCTCACCAACCACAGGGTCTCAGGCTCTCTGCAGATGAACACCAGCCTGTGATCTACACCAAGTTGTAGGTCCATCTAGGCTCCTTTGTGGACACAAGAGCCTCTTTATCTAGTTCTCAAGGTGTGGGAGGCCACCTTGTCTGGCCAGGGAGGGAAAGACCATGGAAGTCCAGACATTTCCTGAAAGCAGAGCCTCTGTCCCTGGCACTGTGGAGGTGATCACTATTTTCCCAGGCCCAACAGGGAGAAGTCTGAGCGTTAGAGATCTATCTAGACCACAATGTGCCAAATAAAACACCTTTGCCTGGGCTGTCCTATTAACTCCTTAGCTGTGAGAGACTCCAAGAAAATCAGGCCCTACATTCCAAAGCTCATGGTGTCTAGCTGGTCACGCATGGCAGCAAGCGGAGAAATGAAATGACTACATGGGACCCACACAGGCCTGGGATCCAGATGACCAAAGGCTCATCTCCACACTTGGAGGAGAATCCATAACATTAAAGGCACTGGTCAAACAAACAGGAAAAAAGCAACTTGGAAGAAACAGTGCAGAGGCAAAATTCTCCAAACAGTCATCAATATTTTCAGAAATAGGAAGACATTCACGAAACAAGAATAGAACACTATCTTTTTATAGGGAGGAAGGCATTCAGAAAGAAAAAAAGAGCTCGTTAAAAATATGATAGGCCAGGGTCGGTGGCTCAGCCTGTAATCCTAGCACTTTGGGAGGCTGAGGTGACTGGATTGCTTGAGTCCATGGATTTGAGACCTCGTCTCTGCAATAAATGAAATTAGCCGGGCATGGTAGCACGTGCCTGTAGTTCTAGCTACTTGTAGGCTGAGGCAGAAGGATCGCCGGAGCCCAGCAGGTCGACATTGGGGTGGCTGTGAGTATGCCATTGCACTCCAGGCCTGGGCGACAGAGTAAGATTCTGACTCAAAAATATAAAATCAAATCAAATGATAACATATGGCTGGATGCGGTAGCTCAAGCCTGTAATCCCAGCACTTTGGGAGGCCAAGGTGAGAAAACTGTCTGAGCCCACAGGTTCGAGACCGGCCTGGGCAACTTGGTGAGACCTCATCTCTACAATAAATCAAAATATTAGCCAGGCATAGTAGTGTGCACCTGCAATTCCAGCTACTTGGAAAGCTGAGGCGGAAGGATCGCCTGAGCTCAGCAGGTTGATGCTGTGGTGGCTGTAAGCATGCCACTGCACTCCAGCCTGGGCAATGGAGTGAGACTCCAACTCAAAAAAAAAAAAAAAAAAAGGTAATATAAATGAGAACGGCAACACAAGAGTTGGAAGATAAAGTTGAAGAACTCCCTCCAAAGTAGAGAAAAAAATACAAACAGACGTAAAAGAGGAAAAAATATCATAGAGCCAGCTTCAGAAAAAGATAATGGTAAAATCAATAGGAAGAAATCAAACACTTAAGAAAATTCTCCAGAACTGATTGAAAGGACCCACTAGGAACACACACAATGAACAAAAATGGACACACAAAACACTTGATTGGAAATTCCAGAATAATGGGAAAGAAGAACACAAAAAATCCACGTGGCAATAGATATTTAATGAAACAATGTCTTAAAATTATGAGAAAAAATGATTCCCAACCTAGAATTCTCCATCCAACCATTAGTCAAGTGTGAGAATTTAATAAAGGCTTTCTCAGAAATTATTTTCAAAAAATTCACCTTCCTGCCACTCTTTCTTAGGTAGCTCCTGAAGGTTTCTCCACCCAAAGAAGTCAACCAAAAATAAGAAAATGTGGGATTCAGAAAAGAGAATTCAACTCAAAAGAGAGGCAAAGGGATAGTCCAGGATGAGGGAAAAGAGCTCCCAAGACAACAGCTGAGCAGCAGCTGAGACATCTGCCAGTCTGGAGAAGGTCAGAGGGCTCTGGGAGGAGCTTCCAGCCGTGGCAGTGTAATTGGTTGCAGAGTGGCCCTCCCTCCACCACGGGGCTGGAGAAAAATATATGAGGCTGTTTCTTTACTACTTTTTTTTTTAGTTGGAGTCTCACTCTGACGCCCAGGCTGGAGTGCAGTGGCACACTCACGGCCACTGCAGCCTCAACCTGCTGGGCTCAGGATCCTTCCGCCTCAGCTTCCAAGTAGCCGGAACTATAGGCGCGTGCTACCATGCCCAGCTAATTTTTTGATTTATTGTAGGGATGAGGTCTCACCAAGTTGCCCAGGCTTGTCTTGAATCTGTGAGCTCAGGCAATCCTCTCACCTCAGCCTTCCAAAGTGCTAGGATTATAGGTATGAGCCACTGCGCCTGGCTAGAGGCTGTTGTTTGAGTGTAGACAACAAGCAGCACAAGCGTATAACCCGTAAAGGAACCCAAACTCATGAAATGTGCCTCGTGATCACTATGCTCTGCCTGGGACCAGCTTCCTGATCATGGGACAGTGGGCTAGAATCCAAGCAGAGCACAACAGGTGTGGTAGTGCCTGCTACTGAGCTGACAGGCAGAGATCAGAGTCCAGAGTGGCTGATGTGACAGAATGAAGGGAGCCATACTGAGGGGGAGCCCCAAAGTCTATGTGGAGTGCCCCAGGGATTACTTGAGCAGAGAGCGGGGTTGGGAACAGGGTTGGGAACAGACCAGAGACAGAGGTTGAACTGTGCCGGGGGATGCTGAAGTCCAAGCCAGACACGGAAAAGCAGCCTTATTGTGCCTTGTCAGCACCCAGTATGTGCTCTGAGACGTCAAAAAGGCTGTGCCATGTGAGTGAGGACCATGCCTAGAGCAAGGCCTCCATGGACCTGCCCTAACAAAGCCTAAAACCAAACCACAACATAAGCCTTGGGGTGGAGTCTGAGTTCTGCCACGTTAGGCTAAGGAACCACCTCAGTCTTCCCTATGCCCTAACAAAATATAAAAATAAGTTAAAGGGGATCAGCCAGTAACTGCATTGACTACTAGAACAAGAATCAACACTCTTCAAAAGAATGATAACAGAATACGGGGTTCCTATAAATTATCAACCACAATTTTCATTATACAATACAAAATTGCTAAACATGCAAAAAACGAGGAAAATATGAATCACAGACAAGGGAAAAATCAGTCAACAGACACTGATGCCAAAATGGCCCAGATGTTGGATTTAATAGACAAAGACTGGAAAGCAGCTATTTTCAGTGCATTCATAGAATGAAAGAACAGTATGTTCAAAGAATTAAAGAAAAATATCATAATGAATGGACAAATAGGAAATTTAAGCAGAGAACTGGCAACTATTTGTTATATGTGTTCTATTTATTTATTTATTTTGAGGCAGGATCTTGGCTCTGTTGCTCAAGCTGGAGTGGAGCAGCATGGTCACAGCTCACTGTAACCCAAACTCCTGAGCTCAAGAGATCCTCCTGCCTCAGCCTCCCAAAGTACTGGGATTACAGGCATGAGCCAGCTTGCCTGGCAACATTTGTTTTGTTACATTTTTATTATTATTTAAATTAATTTTAAAACGAGTGGAAATTCCAGAATTGTAAAGTATAAGTGGAAAATTCACTGGATAAGCTTAACAGGGGATTATAGATGGCAGAAAAAGAATGATTAAACTTGAAGAAAAACCAATAAAAATCCAAAGAAGAGGGGGGGAAAAGATTGAAAAGAATGTACAAATCACAGGGGTCTATGGGATAATATCAAGCTGTTTCATACTCATATAATTGCAGTTCCAGGAGAAAACAGTGATAATGGGAGAAAAACATTCCAAAAAAGAATGGCTACAAATCTCCAAATTTAAGGAAACTGGCTAACATCCAAGAAGCTTAGCAAACCCCAAAGCAGAAAAAATACAAAATATACCATGGCAGATCATAGCCAAACTGATTAAAAACAAAGATTAAGGGGGACATCTGAAAAGTAGAGGAAAAAAAGATGCATTATACACAGGGCAACAACAATACAAATGACAAATAACTTTCATGAAAGTAATTAAGCCTGAAAGACAATGCTGAAAAGTGGTTTAAAAAAAACCAACATAAGAACGGGTGGCTAAATGTGGTGGTTCAAGCCTGTAATCCCAGCACTCTGGGAGGTCAAGGCAAGAGGATTGACTGAGTCCAGGGGTTCAAGACCAGCCTGGGCAACTTGGTGAGATCTTGTCTCTACAATAAATAAAAAAAAAATTAGTTGGGCATGGTGGAACGTGCCTGTAGTCCCAGTACGCAGAAGACTGAGGCAAAAGGATCGCCTGAGCCCAGCAGGTAGAGGCTGTGGTGGCCACGAATGTGCCCCTGCACTGCAGCCTGAGCAATGGAGTGAGGGAACAAGAAGAGGGCAACCTCCTCAGGTCCCCTCCAGCTCTGGGAACTTCTCTATCCTCTCAATAAATCTGCCTTCTCAAACAACAACAACAAAAGTAAAAACAAAAATACTGGGGTGGGGGGCGGGGTGGGGTGAAGAACACTGAAGGAAAAAACTCTCAAACTGAAATCATTTTTTTTCTCCTGAGTCAGAATCTTACTCTGTTGCCCAGGCTGAAGTGCAGTGCAGTCCTGGCCACTGCAGTCTCCACCTGCTGGGCTCAGACGATCCTTCCACCTCAGCCTTCCAAGTAGCTGGGACTATAGTCATATGCCACCATGTCCAGCTAATTTTTTTTTTAATTGTAGAGATGAGATCTCACCACGTTGCCCAAGCTGGTCTCAAACTCCTGGACTCAGGCAATCTTCTCACCTCAGCCTCCCAAAGCCTCCCTGGGATTACAGGCACGAGCCACTGAGCCCAGCTGAAGTCTTTTTTTTTTTTTTGAACAGAAAAGCTCCCACAGTGGGAGGGGACCCGAGGGGGCTGCCCCTGAAGTCTTTATTAAGCAAAATTATTTCTCAAAAGAGAAGGTGAAATCAAGACATTTTCAGATACAGGGACAGTGTCCGGGCAACGGCGACAGTGTGAAGCCGAGACAGGAAAAAGCTTCACATGTTAGAGACACACAAAGAGCCTTGTGGCTAGGGAGCAGTGAAGGAGTGGGAGGACACACGGCAAGAGCACGAAGGACCTTGCAGGCCAAAGTCAAGACTGCGGGTTTCATTTTTATTGTTCTGGGAAGCC